ATCCGTGTACATCCCATGGCATCTGTGTACATCCGATGGTATCCCAGTACATTCCATGGTATCCCTGTATATCCCATGGCACCCAGTACATCCCAGTACATCCCATGGTATCCCAGTACATCGCATGGTACCCTAGTGCATCCCATGGTATCCCAGTACATCCCATGGTATCCCAGTACATCGCATGGTATCCCAGTACATCCCATGGTATCCCAGTACATTCCATGGTATCCAAGTACATCCCATGGTATCCCAGTACATCCCATGGCATCCGTGTACATCCCATGGTATCCGTGTACATCCGATGCTATCCCAGTACATTCCATGGTATCCCTGTATATCCCATGGTATACCAGTACATCCCATGGTATACCAGTACATCCCATGTTATCCCAGTACATCCCATGGCATCCGTGTACATCCCATGGTATGCGTGTACATCGCATATCATCTGTGTACATCCCATGGTATCTCTGTACATCCGATGGTATCCCAGTACATTCCATGGTATTCCAGTACATCCCAGTACATCCCATGGCATCCCTGTACATCCCATGGTATACCAGTACATCCCATGGTATACCAGTACATCCCATGGTATCCCAGTACATCCCATGGTATCCCAGTACATCCCATGGCATCTCTAATCACGTAGATGTACCGAAAGATGCAGTTGTGTAATAAGTTAAATTTAACACCGTAAAAAAGTAGGTGAAATAACTTACTAACTTGGACGTTAATCCTTCATCAGAGTAAAGAGATGAAACTAGGTRAAGTGTGAGTTTATATAATGAGATTGGCAAAGAAAGTAGACCAATCGGAACAAGGTAGGCATGGTAATGAGAATTAAACAAATAAAGCAAGAGATGTGCTAGAGAAAAGAACAAAAGAGGTGCTAAAAAGAGAACAAAAGCTATTAAAATTATCTGAAAACAAATCTTTCATTCAACCCATTGGGATTAYAGGTGTCCAATGAGTGGATAAGCCACATTTCTTTGCTTTTACGACAATCATTGTCGCYGCTAATCAAAGACAAACCGAACTTTACGAGAGTTCAAACTGTTTTTAAATAGGGAGTGTCTGTTTGAGGTTTAATTGCAATTATTTCATACTTGATTCAGTTTTCTTTGTTATTCATAGTGTTGTATCTCGCTTATTGTGTATTCAAGTGCTTTATATCGAAGTTTCAGGGCAAAATCTATATATTGCCCTTGAATACTAATGTATATTGCCCTTGAATACCTAATTAAATACTGACTACGTTCAACTTAGAAATTTTTCGTCTGAAACTTGAAAGAAAGAAAGAAAAATTCAAATGACACCAAGTAGATTCGAACCAACAACCTTAGCTTTGAAAATCCTATACTTAACACGTTATGCTAACTGACTAATCGATGTCAGTTATGGAATAAAACAGTTATTTAACCTTTCTAATGTATGAGTCAATTCCAAAGGTGTACATATAGGCTGATTGCTTCCGTTCTCGGTATGTAACTCTTACTTCTCTACTATGTGGCCTCCCTAAATATCTGATGGATCGTCTACAAGCTGTCCAAAATACCTTTGCCCGTCTTATCTTCCTTTCTAAAAAAYGTGACCACATTACACCTCTACTTATYGATCTTCACTGGCTTCCTGTCTCCGCAYGTGTCAAGTTTAAAATTCTCCTTCTGACTTTCAAAGCTCTTCATGGCCTGGCTCCTATTTRTGTTCAAGACATGATTGAAAAATATTGTCCTTCTCRTTGCCTTCGTTCGTTGTCTCAACTGTTACTGTCTTCCAAGTCATACAATATCTCAAAAGTTATGGTTATCGTTCTTTTAGTGTTGCTGGTCCTTTTCTATAGAATTCACTCCCATCTTCAATCAGAGATATTCCTTCACTTGATAATTTTAAAGCTGCTCTTAAAACCTTCTTATTTAAACAAACTTATGATCTGTAACTCTATTTTAACTTTCTTTATCTTAATTTTTACCTCTTTATTTGCGCTTAGACAAAGTTATATGAGCGCTTTATAAGCTTAGATTATTATTATTATCTATATACAACTGTTGACTCGTTATTTCAAGCAGTGTAGTGTAGTGTAGTATGGGATGTGATTGATCAAAAACCTGCAAACAAACTCCAAAAACTGAATAATCGTGCTGCCAGAATAAAAACTAGTACTCCTTATGCTGGCATCACAACTATGCAGATATTAGGATATTAAGAGTATAGGAGATATACGGTAAGTAGAATACACCGAAAAATTGTGATATAAAGAGGGTCGGAGATAGAGAGGAAGCAAGAAGCAGAGAATTACTCCCCCTGCTTATCCTTACCTTCACTGGACAGTCGCGTTGCATCAAGATCTCCCATCTTAATTCAGTCCTTAAAGGATCGGACTCACTTCCATCAAGTTAACGACCTGATTTMCAGGAAAAACTATGATGTATTTTCCGTTTCTGAGTTTACAACACAAGAAGCTCAAATCGTTTGTGCTTGCATGGCTTACAGTACAGACCCCCAGATGTAACACTTGGTTGCCTCATGAATGACTTCGTTCCATCTTATATCAAGGCTGCTTTACTTGGAAAGGACATCATCAYAACAGGAGACCTAAATTGTGATCTCCTTTCTCCTGTGAAGCCTGAGAGTGTCGCGCTTTAATGGATATGTGCAATGTGTTGAACCTGGACCAGCTTATTACTCAGCCCACTAGGGTAACAAAGACCTCTGAGACTCTTATTGACGTGATTTGTACTTCCAACAACGACCTTGTCAAGAATAGCAGAGTGCTTAAAAAAACCATCAGCTGCCAATTCTTGGTTTATTGTGTGCTCAATCTCAAGCGCCCGAAGGCACCTCCAGCGTTCATTACTACTCAATCGTACAAGAACTTTGATCCTGAGATATTTGGTGAAGACATTCTAAGAGTCACAGTTGGTGTTCTCACGAATCACATCGATGACCAGGTCTCCACGTTTAACAATCTTTTTCTAGAAGTATTGCTGCAACAGCAGGCCCCTTTAAAAACTTTCAAGCCCAAACACCAAAAATCTAAAATGATAACTCCAGAGATCAGAGACTTGATGCGCAAACGGAACAGCTTATTAAAAATGGAGCGTCTTTCGTCGAACCCCCGTGACTGGGAGGCCTACAAAGTCCTACGACGCGAAGTCAAATAAAAAATTGAGTCATCAGAGGCCCTTTTGATCAAGAATGAGATTAATGAGAACAAAGACAACAAAACATCTATTTGGAAGACGGTTCRCYGCTGCCTAAAYCCATGKGGAAACTCAATCCTTGTGTATTCGCGAGACAGCCTGGAGATTGCTAATGAGTTTAACAAATTTTTTACATCTTTTGGTGAAAAAGCTGCAAAGCAAGCAAAGAAACTAGTGCTTGAATATGATTTACCACCTATTGTTTCGCCCATAATTTCCAACAGTGAGGAGACCAGTATTCACATCGAACAGTTTTCGTTCAAACAAGTGTCTCAAGAAAAAGTGAAACCATCATGCCCACAAACAAGGTCAGCATGAAAGTTATCAAGGCGTGTCTTCCATCCATCCTGCCTGTTATCACTGGC